TTTAGCTGGCGCCCCCCCCTGCCAGAAAATCGTTCAGTAGAACAAACAAAAGTACCTACCATAGCCAATAGCAAATAAATGCAACTTATTTTATTTTTGTTGTTCATTCATATCTTATTTTACCTAGTTAACATTTATTTATGCATATTTTTGTATCTCTCAAGTTTTAAACGATATTTTTGGTTTACTGTCCTATAGTATACATTGAAATGATTTCAAACCTGTTTATCCCAATAATTATAAAAGAGTGCTTTGGAAATATTTGTTTACATAAATTGCATTTATCTCTCTCGCTCGCTCCCACGCCCACTTTGGCTGTGAGCTGCGGACGCCTGATAAGCCAACACCCCCCACTTTCATCACTTACAGCGCCCATCGTACAGGGCAAATGAAAAGTGTAACCGGGGTGAAAAGGGTGTTACCTTGACTTAATTATGAATGTTGTTACATCAAGGCTGAAAATTAGGATGAGGGCAAACAGTCAAAGATAACACAGAATTTGGTGATGATTAAATAGTTTACAGTGAGATTTACTCCCATACTTTTGGCCATACTCAAGCNGGTGAAGCTTTCAACGCAAGCCGTTGTGTGGACGGGCCGTAAAACACCCATATGAAAAAGATTGGTTTTAATAATCAAATAAGTATGTGAACATAACCATTGGTTATGTTCACATACTTATTTGATTATTAAAACCAATCTTTTTCATATGGGTGTTTTACGGCCCGTCCACACAACGGCTTGCGTTGAAAGCTTCACCATTCACTTTGAATGGGGTGACGTCACTTTGCTGGCGTGGCTCGCTGCAAAAGTTGAGCAATTTTCAACTTTTGAAGCCTTGGCAGAAGCGTCAGCCAATCGAATCATATGCCAGTACAAGCTCTAGCCAATCAAACCGCTGCTTGTGTGTCAGGGGCGGGAGATTCATGTGATTGGTTGTTGGCCGAGTTTCAGACACGCCCGCCGGCAAGCGTCAACGCACGCCGCTGTGTGGACGGGCCGTAAGAACTAGCTAGAGAATGATTAACCAAAACAAGTTAGTGGG